GGAGCGTGACCCTCTCTCCCTGCACGCCCTGAGCAGAACTAGAGCCTCCTGTTGGAGAACAGCTCCCTCAGATTGAAATCTATACCATTAAACACCTCAAAAATTAAACAGTTGGCTACTTAACGTTAAACGGCATAAGAAAATGTGGCATAATTCCCTTCTCCCTGGCCTCCCCACGATGAAACACCAAAGTGTTAAAAAAAAAAAAAAAAAGGCCCAGTGTGTGATGAGGACTTGGGGGTTAATTTTCAGCATGGTGCCAGGGGATTTAGCTGTGGGACTCCCATTACTTGTAATGGGAACCCTGCTGCTTCATTTCATGCATACTGTATGGAAACCGCACCCTTGCACGGCTGCACAATTTTAGTTTTGAAATTGAGGCCGTCTTTCTCAGAGCAAAGCAGAGTTTTAGAAACACCAAACTACTCAGTGTTTGCCCGGGGCCTGTGTGTTTGTGCTTATGTGTATGGGGTGGGGGATGTCTTTCTCCCAAGTGCAGGTGCCCCTTTCAAAGATAGCAACATTAAAACGTGATGCCCAATAGCTAATAGCAGTGGTTACTATGCCTCATCTTAAAGCTTTGTCAGGGACCCCATAAAACTAGCACATGGTTGGTGACACCCAGTGAAACCTTGTGCTTCTGCCATAGTAACCTGAACCCTGCTGCCTGTCATTAAGGGACCTCTCTTATTAGACATCTCTTTTTTAAATAGCTGCCATCATCTGGTCCCAGTGTACATTAAATCCCATTATAATTATAAACACACTTCCCCATAACATCCGTTGCAGATTTCATCCACACTGCCTACCCCCTCAGGGCATCTTTGCACTAATAACAACTCAGATTTGCTATTTGAGTTGACAACATTAAGGTCCCAACACCATTTGCAATATGCTGGGGGAAGAGAGAGAGGAGAAAAAGCTTTCTCTTTCTCAATCATGAAGATCTTGGGGTCACAGTGACCCAAGGCCCCAGGAGCTAAAAATAAATAAATAAATAAATAACCCCTCTTCTTCCCCCTTTGAGAAGTCACTCTCTGCCCAACAGACAGGAGGAAGGGCGTGCTTAGCACCTGGAGGCCAAGCCTGCTAGCCAGGACTCCACCAGGAAAACAGATGACGATTACTAATCAGAGAGGCCATCTTCTTATTTGGTTTTCTGCACTTCAACTAACCAGAATCCACATGTCACCTGATTATTTCCCTCCTCTGTTCTTTTTGGAGGGGGCATCTAAAAAAGTGACATGAAAGAATTAAAATAATTTAGAAAAAAAGAAAAAGACGAACGAGAGAAAGCCATCCACCTACGCAGGGAGGAGAAATTTGATTTTGGTTAGTTTTTGATGTCATTTGCATCTACCTAGTAAATATCTGCAATAATGACCTTGAAGCCTTGTAAGGTCCTTTGCCTCCAGGAAAGGCCAGAGTAGGTCTGCAGTATCTTCCCCCAAGAGTCCAGGAGGGGCAGAGAGCTGAGGGTGCCTGTGACAGCCTGGTATGTCTTCCAGTGGCAACTTGGAGTTCTCAATTGGTGAGGAGAATTTTTCCATTCAGGGGCTTCACTGTCTGCATCCCTCCGTGAAAAGGCTTTATTCCCAACTCATCTCAAGGTTTTAGTATGCAAAGTAGCTGCTTCTCCCCCAGAGGTAGGAGTCCTTGATTTATTTATCATGATAGGAAAGTCTACCTTAAAATTTTACAACTATTTTCCAGCTGAGGAGTCGGAACAAAATGAGTTGCAACATTTCATTAACACTCAATCAGAATACAGAATACTCACAACACCACTGCAGCCTTCTTCCTGGGCATCTGTTTGGTTGAAGTTTTATTGTAATTCAAAACTCCCTCAACTTGTGCCTGTGATTTTGAAGAAGGAGGGAAGGTGACCTAAGCCTGTTTACCTGGTGGCCCCATTCAGTAGGGACCGGCTTGGTCCTCAGCTTGCCTGGCTGTTGGTAGCTCTCTCCCTCAGTGGAGTAAGAGAAGGAAAATCAAAAGCCCTTGTTTTCCTAATTCTATCTTGCTAGAGGCTGTCCCATCTAGAAGTGAAGATCATGAGCTCTGCAGCCCGAATTGTCTGATTGAAAGCCTCAGCTCCGCGGCCTTGGGTAAGGCGCTTAACCTCTCAGTTTTATCATCTGAGAAATGGGGGCAATGACAGCACCTGCCTGAGTACGGTTGTAACAAGGATTAAATAACACAAGATAGGTAATGTGTTGAGATTCATGGTCTGTGCTCAGAATGAGTTCTTATTCCCACTGTCTCCTCCCTGTAAGATCCCTTAGACCTAACATAGCTCCCTCTTCCACAAACTCTGAAAGGCTGCTACCCGTGGAAAGGATGTGAATAAAGGAGGAGATGAGGGAATAAGAAGATTTACTGTGGAATTCTATTCAAAGGTCAATTCATCTATTCCCCTGTCTTTAGCATGATCTGGTAAGACTGAGGTCTCTCCTATTTTTAGACCTGTCTGAACTGGTGTCCCACTTTCCCTTACCATACCCTTTAAGTAAAAAAACAAAACTACAAATACATGAACATCAGAGAGAGAGAGTTTTCTCCTGTAATTTTCCATCCTGCTTGTCTTTAGGTGCTGCCATATGAAATCTCTGAACTGGGGAGTCTCATCAGCCTTCAGGGGACCCAAGGACATAGCTCTGGCTATAAATGGTGCCGGTTTTGTGTGTGGGGGGGAGCTGCTGCTGTTTTATCTGGGCCCAATAAACCTTATCAAACTGCTGTGCAGCCAGCCTTCAGCACTAAGTGGAAATGCTTGGAGCCCAATTCTGGCTCTCAGCCCACAGCCTCGCCTGCCTTCCTCCTTTTTGTTACCTTCTCCACCTCTTAAATTCAGGCATTAATCTCTCTTTAACACTTACTAACAAGGGCTGGGCTTTTTTAATGGGCAGAGTTTATGAAGCAAGGGAGATTTTCACATTGAGTGAATATGGCATGGAGTGGGTGGGGGGAGTCTAGGGCCACGGAGAGATTGTTCTTGTTCTCCCATTGTTTCAGAGGTTTCTCTCTTTCTCTGATTTGAGGATTAATAGGAGATTAGGATCAAGGGTTAACTGTGTGCTTCTCCTGCCACTGCACTTAGGAGGGGCTGGTAGGTGGATGTGGATGGCAAGGCGGCAACCTTCCTTAGGCACCGTCTCTGGGCAGAGGCTCAACAAGTTCAATGATCGTTCCTTCTCTTTCCCTGGTGAGGCACTAGGAAGGTCTTTCTTTCCTTCTTACATCCCTTTCCTCCTGCTCTCCTTGCAGACCAGTGCTTTCTGAACTTCCTTTAAATGCCTTTCCCCTTGCAGATAGTGTAGACCTTAGCTAGAAAGACAGCCCATAACCGGGATCGCTCTTTATCGTTAATCAAAATGAATACCTAGGGACCAGGCTTTTCTGGGGATCCGTTAGGTGCTGCTGTATTCAGGACTATCCGAGGGTAATTGACTTGCTTCCCTTCCAAGGGTGTTTCTCTGCTCTCTTCTCCTCTCCTCTGACTCCTGCAGGGCTGAGCCCCTTTTCCCTGCTAGGAGACCAGAGCATGCTTACAAGGACGGAACTGCCTGTCCTTCGGACTGTTTCCCCTTAGCCGTTTTTGGGAGTCTGAGCACTTTGCGCTGCGGCCTTCAGTGGCCCAGAGGCAGATTTTTGCGTCTAGTTGGTGTCTGCCACCTTCCATGACCCTACAGTTCTTGAGGCCTGACTCTAGGTCTGGGGCAGTACCGGAGACAAGCATCGGAATGTGATTGTATGTGAGTCCTGCGCAAACCTCTGACCAGCCAGTGTGTCAGGGACAGCGTGGGGACTCAGGTCTCCCTGACTGAACAGCCCAGCGATGCTAAGACTGTAGGACTTCCAGGGCTGACTGTCCAGAGACCCAGGGAGGGCGCTCGCCACCACCGCCCCCTCACCCCAGCGATCCCCGGACCTTAGCCAGCCGCCAAGGCCGGTGCTCATCACAGAGCTTCCTACCTCTGGCCTCCCTACCTTCGCTAAGCTCCGGGGAAAGGGGGGAGAAGGGGACTCTCCGCCGCCAGGGGAAGGGTAGGTTTCTTCTGGTTGCTCTACCCCGCGGTTAGTGATCTCAGCTCCACTCTACAGAGGAGCGGCCAGCGGAGAGAAGGAGGCTCTTTGGGGGGCTCTGGAGCCTTTTCAAGCGTTCACTCGCTCCCTGGAGGCTTTGCGCTGAGCAGGACGTGGTTCTCAGGAACTGTCTCCAACCAGGTTCCCTGGCCCGGGGGCGGGTGTGTGTGTGTGTGTGTGTGTGTGTGTGTGTGTGTGTAAGCCCAGGGGATGCTGAAGACTGAGAGGGATAAAAGTTCCTCTCTCGGGCCTCGACCTCGCCTCCGGGGATCCCCACAGCTGAAATGAGGAAGGGATCTCCCTTCGACCGAGACTCATCCCCGCGGACCCTCTGGCACTAGACTCCCCAGGGCCTGCGAAATGCGCGCCCCTGGAGACTTTTCGCAATCCGGGTGCCCAACACCCGGAGGCTTTAGAAGGCCTGGGCTTGGGCTGAGAAAGGGACCTTCTGCAACCGATGTCGGGATACGGGGGATGCGGCCCCGAGCCCGGAGAAAAGTGAAAGGCGAGATGACACACACAGAATCGGGGCAAACACTGGAGCCGGGGACGAAACTCCGCGCCCGGGGCAGCAGGGAAGAAGAAAACCCGTGTCCAGAGGAAATAAAAAACCTGGGGTTGAAGGTGGGGGCTGCTCCTCGCCCCTCACCTCCATTGCCCGCACTGAGGGTTCCGAGTCCCTGGTCCCGCTCTCCGCGAGCTCCTTCTCCTTTCCTCTCCGCTGGGCCGGTGAGCGGCGGCCGCCGGCGCCCCAGCAGCAGCTAGATGTCAGGCGAAGCCCGGAGCGCGGCGCGCGCGGAAGGGAGGGGAGGGGAGGGGAGACGGCGGAGGGGAGGGGTGGGGCGGGGAGCGCGCGCGGGCTCGGCCAGTACGGGGGTGGGGGTGGGCGGGCTGAGCCCGGGGACGGCGCGGGAGGGGGGGAGGAAGGGGGGCAGCTGTGGGCAGCGAGCCGGGCTCGGCCGCCAGCACTAAAGATGGAGAGGCGCCGGGGCCTCGCAGGGGAGGGGGCTCCGCGTTGACGTGGGACGCGGCGGAGGCGCCGCAGCCGGTGGTGATTTGCTAACCTCGCAGCAGAGAGGAGTTGAGGGCGATGAGAGCGGGTACTGCGAACTGCCGGGCGATGCCGCCGCTGCCGCCGTGATACCGAGAGCAACAGTTCCCAGCAACACCCCTCCCCGACACAGGCACACCCCCCCAAGAGGCACGCACACCCACCCCCAGCGCCCGGCTCGGCAGCGGTGAGTGGGGGGCCGGGGAGGGGCGCACCTCTCAGCCGCAGGCGCGCGCCGGGGCGCCGGGGGGCTGGAGAGGTCCGAGGGGCGCGCTCCCTTCGGCCACTCGGCCGCCGGGCTTGTGCCTTATTTTATTCGGCGTGTTCCCTTCCTGCTGCGGCAGCCGTCGCCACCGCCGGTTGGGGGTCGGCTAGAAGGGGAGCCCCGGCTGTCAGCTTGGGCGCAGCTGCCTCCCCAACCCTTCCGCTCTAGGGCACGGTCGGGGTGAGAGGTGGGGGGCAGACTGGTCTGCGGGGGTTGCGGGCGCGAGCGGAGGGTCGGGGAACCGGAGGCTTTGTACCACCAGGGGCCGGCGGAGGAGCCGGGAGTCGGTGGGTGCTCATATGTATGCGGACCGGTGCGCGGGCGCGATAGGGTTGTGGTTTATTTGTGTTTTTTCGCCGGCTGGGAAGCCAGAATCCGAGGATCCGAGGAGTGGATCTGGGGGCGGAGGGGAGCAGGACTCGGATTCACTTGGGTTTGCTTTCTCTTTGAAAAACGTGGTGGGCTCTTTTTTTCCTGATTGGACTTGACCCCCGACCCGTTTTGGGGGGGAGGGGCGGCCGTGGCGGAGCTCCGAAGGGTCTCCCGGGCTCCGGGCCCTCCTCGGCTCTCGGCGGGACCGGCCGTGGCGCGGGAGCTCGCGGTGCGCTCCGGGCCGCGCTCGGTGGGTGCCCCGGCTCTGCACCTGATGCATTCGGGATGCGTTTCCCAACCTGGCGCGCCGGCAGCTCGCTCGCACAGCCCCTCGAACGCTCCCGCACGCGCTCGAAATGCGCACCGTCTCGCCGGCCCGCGGACCCACCAGAACGCACAGACGCGCGGTGCGGCGATTCACCCGCCCGCTCCCCGGGACGCTCGCAACGTGCCCCGGCCGGCACCCTGCCCGTCGCTGCCGGGGGTCACGGCCCCGGGTCCGAGAGGGAGGGCCGGCAGCTCCCTTCTCGCTTTTCCTTCCACAACTCGCTGTCGGGCTTTTGTGCTGCCCCTGCGCCGCGGGGCGGGTCCGCCGCCTCGCGCTCTCGCTCGGCGTCCAGCCTGCCCCGACTCTCGTCTTTCGTTCGGGTCTCTTTCGCTTTCCCTCTTCCCTAACCCTGCTCCTCTTCTCTCTGCCGTCTGGCTCCCCGGGAAAAGTTGCTTCCCCAAGTTTGCTGAAGTCGCTTCCAAGTCTCTGTGGGGGTGGCTTGGACTGGGGGCGAGTGAGAGCAAGATCGATCCCCGGAGCTCGAGCGGGCGAGCGCAGGCGTCCCCCACCCCCCCGCCCCGCGGGGCTGGGCGCTGCAGCCTGCGCCCACCAGATCCCGGGCGTGGAACCGTGGGTGGAGGTCGGCTGCCCAAGAGCACCCTGATTTCCCGCAGGACCCAGGGCGCTTGCTTTTGGGAAGGAATTCGAGTGGCCCAGCTTCCATTCTTTCGATGGCCCCTCCTCGTTCTCCGAAGCCTCTGGGTCTGAAGGAAAGCGCACCCACGGTGGCAAGGCGCGGATGAGTGGCAGTTCCATTCTTGACGGCCTTAGTCCCCACCCCAGGGTGGGCAGCAAAAGTGTCTTGACTAGTCGTCCTGTTAACCCTTTCTGCGTGAGATCTGTGGCTCTGGAGCCAATAGGGCTCCTTTTGGGGGTGGAGGCAAGCGGTGTTCCCAGAGCCAGGGAGAGCCTGTGTTCTGCTGTTTCCAGTTCATTTCACTGCAGCGTTGGCCACAGCAAGGCAGAGGCGGGGGTGGGGTGGGGGTGGGGAGGGGTTGGGGCTGGGTGATGTCTTCCTAACACTTTAAACCGGTTAGGGAGTCCCAGAGCCCTCAAACAGCGCTTTGGGAGAGGCCTTTGTCTCCCAGCCTGTTCTCTCTTCATACTGTTTTTAACATACACACTAGATGCTGGTGCCAGTATCACATCTGGTGCCTCCAAGCCATGTCCGGTACCAACTGCTGCTCGTGGGCGCAGGACCTCGGAGCCTGTGGGACACGCTTGGAGTTCATGTACTTAGTGTGTGCACTGCTGGCTAGAGAGGTGCATATTTCCTATGATCTCTTTATCGCTAGGTCTTTTGTGACCTATTCTGCATCTTTTAGATCCTCTTGCCCACTGGGCACTTGTGGGCAGGAGGTAGGTGTGGCATCTCCGAGAAGTATTTGCACACGTGTTAACTCTCCTTCCAGCTGTTGTGTGCACGCACATGCCCATGCACACACAGTCCAGATTTCCGATGGCATGTGCAATAGCTCTGAGGCACCTATGGGTGGAAGTAAGCCAAACTAGTGTGAGGGTTATGTGTGTGTGTTTCCGTTGGTGCCTAAGGGGGGGCAGTCAGGGTGTGGGTGGGTCAGTCCCTTGCAGCCCTGAGAAGAGGGGAAGGGCAGAGGCCTGGGAGGGCCAGAGAAGGAGAGCCCTTGCTCGTAGACTCCTGTGGGCCCCGACTGGAGGCTGCGAGCCCCAGTAGGCTTACCTGTGCTCCTTGCGAGGCTGCAGTGAGGCAGGACATAGAACTCTGTTTAGAAGATGAGGTTTACTGCACAGGGGTTGAGAGTGAGATCCAGGGCTTTAACTGACTAAAGGAAGGGGTTAAACTCTCATTTAAAGTGCGGGCCGACACTTCCTCATAACGCATGTTGCCTTGTTGCATGTACCTGAGCTCCCACTCTCAGACTTCCAGAAAGCCCGGGACTCACAAGGCTTTACTGTAATTGCCATTTCGCTTCATCTAACAGCCATCACAGAGCAGTGAATGGAGCGTGTGTGGTGGCAGAAACTTCTTTTTACCCTCCTCATTCCTGGGCTTGTAAAGGCAGGTTGCAGGGTTCTAGGAAACTTCCTTCTCCTCCCCCCCCCCCCCCATTAAAACCACCAAGACTGTCTCACGGGGGCAGGGGGGTATACGGGGGCTGTGTTGTTTGACTCCTTACTTTTAGGGACACTAATCTGTCTTTTGTTCTCTCATCTCTTTTCCCGCCCCTCCCTTACCCCCTGTAGCCCCCTTGGTTGGTCCAGGACACCCACCCAGCCCCGCCACGCAGAGCCAAGAAGGAAAGAGAGCCTCATGCCTAAGCCGAGGGGAGCACCATGGATCTGACAAAGATGGGCATGATCCAGCTGCAGAACCCCAGCCACCCCACAGGGCTCCTGTGCAAGGCCAACCAGATGCGGCTGGCCGGCACACTGTGTGATGTGGTCATCATGGTGGACAGCCAGGAGTTCCATGCCCACCGGACCGTGCTGGCCTGCACCAGCAAGATGTTCGAGATCCTATTCCACCGCAACAGTCAGCACTATACCCTGGACTTCCTCTCGCCAAAGACCTTCCAGCAGATTCTGGAGTATGCATACACGGCCACACTGCAAGCCAAGGCGGAGGACCTGGATGACCTGCTGTATGCAGCCGAGATCTTAGAGATTGAGTACCTGGAGGAGCAGTGCCTGAAGATCCTGGAGACCATCCAGGCCTCGGATGACAATGACACAGAGGCCACCATGGCAGATGGAGCGACCGAGGAGGAAGAGGACCGCAAAGCTCGGTACCTCAAGAACATCTTCATCTCAAAGCATTCCAGCGAGGAGAGTGGGTATGCCAGTGTGGCCGCACAGAGCCTCCCGGGACCCATGGTGGACCAGAGCCCTTCTGTCTCCACCTCATTCGGTCATTCAGCCATGAGTCCCACCAAGGCTGCGGTGGACAGCTTGATGACCATAGGACAGTCTCTTCTCCAGGGAACTCTTCAGCCTCCTGCAGGGCCCGAAGAGCCAACTCTGGCTGGAGGCGGGAGGCACGCTGGGGTGGCTGAGGGGAAGACGGAGATGATGCAGGTGGACGAGGTGCCTGGCCAGGACAGCCCTGGGGCCACCGAGTCCAGCACGGCGGGCGCCGTGGGGGACAAAGTTGAGGAAAGGGGCAGAGAGGGGCCCGGGACCCCGACTCGGAGCAGCGTCATCACCAGCGCTCGGGAGCTGCATTATGGGCGTGAGGAGAGCACGGAGCCCCTGCTGCCTCCCACTGAGGCTGGCCAGGGCCCCCCGGGCCGCCCCGAACACCCCACGCCCCCAGCTGAGAAACACCTGGGCATCTATTCCGTGTTGCCCAACCACAAGGCTGACGCCGTGTTGAGCATGCCATCCTCAGTGACTTCGGGCCTCCACGTGCAGCCTGCCCTGGCCGTGTCCATGGACTTTAGTACCTACGGGGGGCTGCTGCCCCAGGGCTTCATCCAGAGGGAGCTGTTCAACAAGCTGGGGGAGCTGGCTGTGGGCATGAAGTCTGAGAGCCGGACCATCGGGGAGCAGTGCAGCGTGTGTGGGGTGGAGCTTCCTGACAATGAGGCTGTGGAGCAGCACAGGTAGGGTTCTCTCCGGCCCCGCACCATGGCCCCAGCCCTCTGGCTCGGACATCTTGCCTTCATAACCAGCTGCCCCCGTGCCCTGGGGCCTGGCTCCCTAGTCCTCCCTGCCCTTTGTAAAGAAACCCCTGCTTTTTCTAAGTCCTGGGTGGGGGATGAGGGGCATAGTCTTCAAATGTGGCAAGAGGACCTGGGGTCTTTCCTAAGCATCGGGGAACTCACGGGGGCCCAGCTCTTTTTCCTCTTTTTGCTTTTGGGCTCTCGTTTAGTTTTTCTGCTGTTGGGTCTGGTCGCCTTTGCCTGGAGGACTAATAAACTGGAGGGTGGGAGACGAGGAGGTGGGATTGGAGAAGAGGGTCTCCCCTGGCCTGGCCGTGGCCATGTTGCTGGGTTTCAGGGACACAGGTGCCCAGGCGCCCAAGTCCCCAGGGAGTGCTCCCCGCCAAGGCCGGCAGTGGGCAGCTCTGGAGCCTGGGAGGGGCTGATGCTGCTTCGGCCATGTGAGGAGCTGCGGGTTCCACGCGCCATTCCTGGGGAACGTTTCTCACCAGGAATGTTGCTTCCTCTCCCTCCTCGTTCTCTGCCCCTGCAAACACATTTAGAGGGAGTTGATTTACATTCAAGGGGGAAGGACGGGTATGAGAGTCTCGATTTTGCAGCCTGCAGCCTTATTCTTATCCCATCTCTACTCACATTGAATTAAATGCGACTTGGGGCCAGCACTGACTCCCTTCTGGCTTCTGTTTCTTTCTCTGTGAGATGAGCATTCGTTGAGCTCTTTTGGTATGCCTCGCTCAATACTGAGTGCTTTACGTGGAGTCACATTTTTGTTAGAGCAGTCTGCTGAGCTGGGTAGGGGGCTGTTCTTCTTTCACACAGGAAGATGCTAAGACCCTTTCCCAGGGTCACATAGATGATAAGAGACCGGGTTGGATTCAAATTCAGGTCTTAGCCTCCTGGTACTTTGCCACCTCTTGGAGTCGCTTCGTGCTGAAGAGGATCACGTCTACACAACAGAGGGTTTTGAGCATCGCTCATCCTAAGTGGAGTGAATATGGACAGAATCTGTAGTGGGTTTGACTTTTACTTGGATCTGCTGTAACGATGTGCCCATCATTTTACCCCCTTGTCCCTGGGTCAGGTGAACGGTGTCAGGAAGGCTACTTTCGTTGTTGTCCACGATAATATCTCTGGCACGCCCTCTCGCCTGCTGGTTTAGCCGATCTTGGGGGGGAGTCTGCCCTTCAGCAACCCTCTTCCTCCACCCTCTCCTCTGTTCTTGCTTCAGGTACAGGAGAGGGGGCGTGAGTGAGTGGGTGTGGGGGCCGGAGAGGCATCTGGAGGTCGGCTGATCACCCCAAGCCCAGCCGGAACCTGTGCCGCCGACGCTGCCTGATCGGTGGCTCTTGAGACTGACTTTGTGGAAAGTGCCGCTGAGCTGAACGTAGCCAAATTTTTCCGGCGGGTGCGAAAAATAACCGCCAGTGAGGTGTGTCTTCTTGATGCTTGTGACACTCAGAAATAGACGGAGGATGTGTTTGTTTTTGCTCAGACTTTCCTGAAGAGGAAACCCCCCTCCCCAAACTGGACCAGATCTATCATCTTTTCCGGATGTGAATTCTTTCAGTTACATGCTGTGAGAAATAGGGTACAGTGGAAAGTAATTTTATTTCTGGCTCTCCTCCAGTCCCAGTTGCCTCTATAGCCGGGTGGGCTGCAGAAGATACCACCCTCCCAGGAGGTCCAGGCTCCCATTCTGTGGGACCCTCTGTCCTCTGGGGAGAGGCAGAGGCCTGGCTGTGTTACATTCCCTGGAGAATGGGCCGTGGGACTAGCCATGTCTCTCCATGGGAGCTTGGGATCGTTATGTAACCTTTCTGAGCTTTGTTTTACTCTTTTTAAAATGGAGATGGGCCACCTGCGTGGTTCAGTGGGTTAAGTGTCCGACTCTTGCTGTCAGCTCAGGTCTTGATCTCAGGGTTGTAAGTTCAAGTCCTGTGGTGGGCTCCACGCTGGGTGTGGAGCCTACTTAAAAAAAAATTTTTAAATGGAGATGGTCTGTAGAGCGTGGTGCTGAATTGGTGCAGTAACATCCAGGAACCCCTAGAGCAGCGAGCGAGTGACACATAGTAAGCATGCAGGTGACGACGGACACTTCGGTCACCCATTCTGTTCGGGTCTCTGCATTGCCTCCCTTGACTCTGAATTCTGGAGTGTCGTGTCCACAGCGCTGCCTTCCCCCGGGGCCCTGCTGGTCATGAGGTGGTGCGGAGAATGTCCCTGTCCCTGTGAGCTTATGACGGGAAGGCCCTGGTCCAGGGATCCTCGGCTGTGGGCTGCCGACTTTGCAAATGTGCTTTTGACTGAGGGTGGGAAGTAAGCTGCTGCAGCCCAACAGACTAGAGCCGAGGGCAGGGCCTCAGGTGGGAAGCTGCAGGGACTGAAGAAATCAAGGAAGGGAGAAGATGTTCCTGTGGCCGCCCCCTGGTCAGATGCACTTTGTGGGAGGCTTTTTCTCTCTCCCTCAAAACTCCCCGATTAAGGTGCCACTTGCCTAATTCCCGCTCTTCTCTGTACCTCCCCTCGCATCACAACCACCAGTCCAAACAAGAGGGCAAGACCAAACAGTCAGAGGGGGAGATTTTGGCATCAGGATGTTGTGCAATTGGGTGTAAACATAGCAGCGATGAAGCGAGAAAACAAGCTACAGGTTTCGTTTTATTTTACTTTTAAGCCACAGACCAAAGTGTTGCCGAGTTAAGTCCCCCCACAGTTCTTATTGCCCGGATCCTTGAGGAATAGAAGGGCATGGAAAGGAGAGAGGGGGAGAGGGCAGGGAAGTGGCTCGGGAGGGAGGGTTCGGTCTGGATCCCGTCACTAGGTCGCCTCAGTCCCAGGCTGGTGAGAGAGAGCCGGAGCCGTGGACAGAATAGAAGAGCGAGGTGGTGGTCCCCGCGGTGCTGGGCAAGAACGTACAGGCAGCATCATCTGGAGTCAGGGACCCATGGAAAGACAGGGCAGGGCTCCTTGGGTAAATTAAATGGGACTCACTTACCTGAAGGATCCAGAAGGTCAGCAGACCCGAAAGACCAGCAGCATTCTCTAAGCAGATGAGGAGCAAGCTCTGGGTGCCACAACCTTCTCTAGGACAGTATCTGAGGGAGGGAGTGTCCCAGCAGGTTTCTGGAGGATTGGACTCTCCTTCTCTAGGTTCATCTCTCTTTTCTCTCTCTGTCTCTGAAAGGCTGGAGCTGTTCTGCATGTAGGCTTATCGGGATCTGATAAGCTAGGGATGAGCTAGGGACCAGCTCACCTGAGCCAGCCGCAACTTCTCCTTCTCAGAGTTACACACACAGGTTGATAAGATTACAGCTGAAGGTGAGGTTGACTTAGGTGTGAACACAGTCCTCATTCCTAGCCCTCAGTCTCCCCAGGCTCACACAGCCTGGTAGGAATATGTTTCTGAATTGCGTGCTGCAGAATCAGAGCTGGGTCTTCTTTGCCCTGGGGCCTCTGGATCTTCTCCAGCAGACCCTTGGACTGGCTACAGTGTGAATCCTGCCCGCACACAGTAGGAGCTCTTGCCAGGCTCCTGAAGGGATGCTCGGGAAACAAGGAATGATCTCAGCCAGCTCCCCGGACCCACGTGTGCAGCCCTTCCCAGAGGCTTCTTGGGGCCAGCTCTAGGGTGCGTGAACCACATAGTTGAGATGACAGATTTCTGCCTGGCTCTTCGCTTTGGTCTCTCAGGTGGCCAGCTGCTCTGTTTTCGGTGGTTGACCATGTAGAGGTCCAGCAGCTGTTGACCTTGGTTTCGGCCACTTTGGGGAGCTTAGCTGTTGCCCTTACTCTTGGTTGCCTTTCATCGTTCTGCCGCCTTTAGGCACCTCCGAGGTCAAACCCAGCTCTGCTGGGAAAGAGTGTAGTAAGGACAGCCAACAGCAGTAATATCAGCAGTGCCTTTGATCAGTGGTAGTGCTTTCTTCTTTGCCGGGCTCTTTTCAGGACTTTGTCTCTCTCCGCACTGCTGCCTCCCCTACGCGGGTTCAGCTCCATCATCCCCTATCTGTGAATAGGAAGTCTGAGAAGCTCTGAAAGCGAAAAGGTTTTGTGCAACTCATTTAGTGGCAAAACCTGATCTGAACTGATGGGAGGCTATATTTATCCCACCTATTTTGAATATTCATATGTTTTGCTGCAAAAATATTAATGTGTTTGATTACAGAGTGCTTCTCTAGACTCCTTCGGGACTGGCAAACACTTGCGGGCCCCGTAGTAGCTTTCTAAAATCCGAACAGTTTGGCTTTCTGAAGTACCCACAGGTTTTGGATCAGGGATTGTGGACCCTTTTCAGCCCCACCTTGCAGACGAGGAAAAGGAGCTCTGGAGCCCATAAATGACTTGTCCAAGGTCACATAGCTATAAATGGATAGGGTCGGGAGCCCAGCTTCCCTTCTGATGCCCAGTCCTGAGTACTCTGCGCCAGGCCATATAAGCACACGCACACTGCCGTTCTGGGACGGATCCATCTGATGTAGTCTTTGGGTGCCAACACCGTCCCTCAGATACCACTGTTGGAGGCCACAGCTATCTTCCTTGACGTCAATCCTAAAGGTCAGGTGGAGATCGACTTCTCCGAGTAGCTATTTGTGGCTGTTCTGTCATTCACAGATTTGCCCAAATCCTTTCTGAATCCATTTCTGTTTCCAGGAAGTGTCCTTTTGGGGGTGATGAATGACTTACGTTTATCACCTCTTGGACTCCTGGAAATCTGGCCTTTGGAGAGGTCGTTAGTTGGGTAGTTGGGAAGATGGCAGGAGACTTGGTGGTGTTTGCTGTGCCCAGCTGGGGTGGAGGCCAGGCCTCTAGACTCCACTGCGTGGTTTTTAGCCCCATGACCTTTGTTGGGCTCTTTTCCCTTCTGAGCTTAATTCCTTCGTTTGTAAAACGAAGTGCTCGGATGGGCTGTTTCTGGGTTGAGTTCTTTAAGAAGTTCCCTT